GAATTTGTCCATGCTTGCTGTCTGAACTGCACTAAAGCATCAGGGAACCTCTCTGGTAGGTTAAAGCCATTCCCATTGTCTTCTCCCTACAGGCCCTTGTCCCAAGCCCCTCTCCAGGTTTCCTGTAGCCCCTTTAGGCACTGGAGCTAAGCTTTCCCCTTAAGGAGCCTTCTCTTTTCCAGGCTGAACCAGCCCAGCTCTCTCAGCTTGCTCAGAGACTTACCCATGCTCACTTGCAGTCCTGTAACCAGAACATGAGCTAACTATTTCAGTCACACTTAGTGGAACTAAACCAACCAATTTTAGTTAACACTCCAACCTGTTATGTTTTTCCCTCAAACTTATCCCATTCAGAGGGCTCAGGACAAAACGCTGCACAGTCACACAGTGACAGCACAAGGCCTGCAGCACTCCTGTACAAAGAGCTCGTGGAAGCGAGGTCCCAGTTCTGTTGCTTCCTAACAGATTCATGCTTGAAGTCAGCAGCAATTTAAACTCGTTTCTTTTTGCTTAGTTTCAGGAGCAGTAACACCTTCAGCCCAGGCAGAGAATAACTTTTAAACCACTCCAGAACAATTGCCACCTAACGGCAACAGCTTTCCACATCACCATAGTATCTGCACACATCAGTTTTCAGCATGCATCTCTCTGTGTTACCAGTGAAAGGTAGAAATGCCTATGGGAATGGCTGGAAAAATACAGGGAGTCTGCAATGGAGAACCTGGGGCTTCCACAGCTCAAACAAGCTCCTTAACCACAAGTCCATCCTTCATTTTTCACACACACTCAGAAAGATCTTTAAGCTCCTCCTGATTCACCAGCTTGCTGGAAAAACTGTTGTCTGTCGACATTAAAAGGAAGATTAAGTGACACCATCGAGTTTACTCCATTTACAAGCTTTAAGTGATTTCACATAGCAAAGATTACAAGATGTTTTGTACAACAAACTAGTAAAGAAATGTTCTTTTTGCCTAAAAGGGGAAGAAGAGGGAAGAACCAATCACACACGTTAGGCACTAAGAGAACCACTTGTCAAACGGCTCCGATAGTGCACTGTAAGTTACTGACTCCCCACAAACATCCAGTCTACTAAAAAATTCATAAAGAGACAGATGGCACAACAGCAGCTCTTTGCAGGAGAGCAGGGTTTAGCAGTGAACAAAGGACTTTGACTCCCCAGGACAAGAGGAGAGATCATTGTGGGGTTTGGAGGCTTGGAAGGGGGGATTGGAGCACACAGGGAGTTGAGGAAGGCTGTGTCTCTCTGGGGCTCTTCGTTTCACCCCACAGCAGCAATGGATTTGAGACGTTTATTCTACCTTGGCAGGCGTACAAGGAGTGTGGAGCACAGCAGAACAAGAACAATCCAACTCTGCCATGGAGGTAAAATCCTCACTGTAGAAATACGAAATACAAACCCAAAATTCCTATTGAAGGATCTGAAACCACCTTCCACAGGGGGGAATGGAGGACTTATGTGACTGGCTTGAAGTCTCAGGGCAACTTGTATCGGTGGGAATTTGATCCAGGCCTCTCCATTCATGCTGTTCTGCCCCTAAGCATTAGGAAATATCCTTATGTTACCCCATGGTTTTTGGGATCAGCCCGAAAGGGTGATGGAAAGGATAAAGTCCTTTATAGATGGCTGAGATTAAGGAAAAAAGAAAAAAGAAAAAAAAAACCAACAAATAAAAAATATAAATGAAAACCATCCCAACATTCCCACTTGATGAATGGGGAATTTATATCCCAACTCTCCTAAAATTAGGAATGAAATTCATTAGCAGCATCTCTGACCTTTTAATCCCAAGACCAAGTTTCTTTTCATGTGCATCACTGCAGTGGGAAAGGAGGAAAACTAATTGGAATATAAGCAAAATACACTTTTCATTTGGGAAGTATCATCTTTAAAAGAACACGCGTCCACCCTTCTATCTGGAAGCCACCCCAACCCCTCCACTTCACATCCCTGCCTATGATTTCAAAGAAGGGAATGTTAGTATTCAAAGTTCACAGATTTCCAGGAATTAAAAGGAACATCAAGAACCACCACTTCAGCCATGAAGGGAGGGAGAGAATAAAAACCATTACACTGCTGAAGTCTCACAAACCCACCAATTCCACACATACTAACTCCAAAAATTAAGATGGAAAACAGGATGAAGGGACATTAAGATCCCTGGAAACCCACCCATGCTATGATCCACCATGGAAACACACTAGAACTAACTTAGCTCTGATTAATTTTGATCTCATATACTAAATTAAAGCTTGCTCCAATATTCTGAGAGCTGACTGGGATTTGTGCTTCTAAAAAGCTTTGAGTGTCTATTCTGGAAATGCTTCTGGACTAAACATCTATCAAGAAACCTCCTGCCCATGGTCACACAGTCCTTTCAGTGCTGTGCTTCACTAGGGTTCTGTCTTTCCTACTTTTTGACCTCTGCAATAGCAGCATTGCAGAATTTGAGCTGTATCATTGCTGTTAAAACAGAGGCAGCATTCTGAAGTCAGATTCTGATCAGACCTACCCTGGAATTGTGACTCAAAACACTGCAGGAACCTAAATACTCCAACACGTCCTACAGACCTTTGCTGGTGGGAGCGGGTCACAGTCAATTTCAGTGAAGAAGCTCCCTTTCATATAGAAAAGGGACAGTTTTCAAGAGTGAATGGAAAAATAACTGCAAGGTCCTTAGGATCTAATTCTAGTCCCCAGAGCAAAGGTCACAGCAGAAATGTTTTATTCAGCATAAGAACTTTTGGAACTCATTCAAGGAGAAGAAAAAACCGAACAGCAACAACACAACTGACATTTTTTTCCCACTGAGCTATTTCTTCCTTTTAAAAGAGGGATACAAGTTTCCATGATCTGGCAAACACCAATGAATTGTGCCTCCCTATAGCAACAAACAGGTAAACCAACACAAGTGTCTAAGCGTCAGTCCCCTGGAGCATAAAAAGAAGAGAAACAAAGAAAGGGGGAAACACTGCACTGCTGTGCACTGCTCATGGAGTTATGGTCATTTGTAGCAGCTTGTAACACAGTCCCTGAACTCGGCTAAATCTGGTGCATTGGTTAGCTCAGTTCAACAGTGGATGGTTCTAAACTCAACCGATTCAAAGGCTTCAATAGTCTCCTGAGGTCTGTAGGATGTGAAAATCTTACCTTTCCTGGCCTGCATGATAGCAAGCTGCATTTCAGAGACTGTATTCTACCGGCTGCTAAGCTCTTAAGCATATATATCTTCTTCTAAAGAAGCCATATAAAGACCACCTGGGTAAATAAGAACACTGCTGCCCAGATTCCCAAGCTGGTTCCGAACACATACAGTTCTCCAGCCGTTTTCTGCTTGTTTGAAAGACAGGAAGATCAGCCCCATTGAAAGCAGTTTGGGAGAGTGAAGCATTTAGTTAAACCCATAGGTAGCTGTACTTACTGCTGTGATTTGCTAGATGCTGCCTTGTGATCAGTGGTGGAAAAGGTTTAGCTTTGAGTTTAGCTTCTATTCACCACACTGTTCACTAAACCATGCCACCAGACACGATTTGTCATCATGCCTTCCCTCTGCAGCCTAAATCTGATCTAGTGGTAGGAACTACCCCCTTCATGGACTTAATTCCTGGGCTAATACAGCACTCACGTCATGCAGCTTCTCCAGCAGCAAGACCAATTTCAGAACATTCAGATTGGAAAGTTCCCAAAAGCAGATTCATACCAAACATCAACACAGCCAAAAATAAGCTTGAAATTTCACAGAAAAGGTCAAGATGGCATATCTGGGACTTCTGCTTCCAGTCAGGAAACTGCCCCCACACAAACAGCCCTGTTTGCTGCCACTGCCAACCCTGGCCCCAACCACACCTTGTAAATATAACATTAAAGGGGAAAATCGTGGGGTAAAAGGAGTGAAGAACCATCACATCAAAGCTCCAAAATACTTAGGTTAACTCTGTCATGAAGAAAAAGAAAGATTTGCAAATCTTTATTCAAACCAGCTTGACCATTCTGAATGCCAAAACAAATTCACAAGACATACTATGACAAATAATGCTTATTAGAATGTAGACAGAGCATGCCAGACACATACAGACATAAAAGCTGAATCCACAATCATTCCACTTCAGCAGCAGCTCTCCACTGGCCCCTTGTACCAGCTGCTTCAGGAAAAAGCAGCTCTTTAAACAGTTACTATAGATTAAACTGGGGGGAGAAGGTTTCTTCCTGACTTTCCCTTGTTTCCTGTTCTCCTTCTGGAGATCTCAGTTGTGCACTTCTTTTTGAAAGCTCTGCCTACTCTTATTTATCCTTTCAGAATCTTGCTGATCTCCAGACAGCAAACACCACTTTGAGTCACTGAGTTCACAGGCGACTTCTCAGCCTCTACAAGTACTCAGTTTTTAATGTGCCAGCTCCTGATTTAACAAGCCACTGCTCTCCCCTATTTATGTTATTCACCTACAAATTGGCAATCAGAACCTAGGCTTGGATCTGAACTGAGTAACATATGAAAGTGCTGTTCTACATAGAATTGCTCACAACACCCAAACCATCAGTTTTAATCCTGCCTAACATGTTGCACTTCTGCCTTTACCCCTTCCTTCTTCCCCACATTCCTACAAAAATGGTATTTTGTTAAAGAATATTACTGAATCTGCCAGGCTGCTCAAAGCTTTATCTGTCTCAGTAACCCAGTTGGATCAGATCCCTGGTGAGCAGAAAACATTCCAGATGTATATATGGACTATTCGCTCACAATGAAAGTGATACATAGAGAGCTTAGTTTAAAAGATGAACATCAATCATTAAGCCAAGGTAAGCCTAGATGGACTAAAGCCAACCCTCTCTTAGGCTGGCAGCTCTGTCAGGAATCACAAAGCACAGACATCCCCAATGGCAGATGCTGACAGATACCCACCATCAGAGACCCTCAGCCACCTAAAAGCACAACCAACAATTTGGGGTTGCTTTTGTAGGAAAATGAGGATTTGTCTCCTACCTGTCGATGATCACGGGGTCAGATGGAGTCTCATTTCTGTTGCCACAACTTTTCTTCTCGCAGCACCGACTAAAGAGAGAGAAAACCAAAGTTAAAGAATTACTGGGTCTATTGACAGCAAAGCAACCAGCTGAAAGTCTTGTCTGCAAAGCTTCAGAACTCAGCATGTGCCTACAAGAGTGACAGAAAATTCTGGCTAGGCTTTCCAGAAGGGAATTGGGTGCCCAAGTCCTGGTTGTTTCCAGCTGGATTTTGGTACTTGGCTCCTCATCGTCTTTTTTGCAATTCCCAGCCAAAACTGAAAAGCAACACGGTCATGCTTTAGACTAAGGTGCTATTCATAAAGCTTAATAAATGATTAACAGATGTCATAATGACATGACTGGCACAAGTATCATGTTATGTATGGTTAAAAGTCCATCTAAAGAAACCACTGCATTTCCTTTTCCCATTTTTAAAAGGGATAATAAAAAAACAAGGGAAAAAAATAAATCAGAAGATGGGTCATTGATTTCCACTGACAGACCCATGGACATAAGTGATGCTCCTTGCAGATACACCAGCCGAGTACCAGAAGCTCAACAGACTTTAAAAACAGTCCTTAGCTACAGAAGTCCATTAGAAGAGATTTCAGCTGTCCTGATGCTCAGATAGTTTGTTCCAACCAAAGCTAATATGGGAGGGGGAAGATGAAGTCATCCAAAACTAAGGAGTCTGCATCCCAAGTCCCATTTGCCTCAAAAGTCACCAGACGAAATTCTGCCCTGACACGAATGTCTTCCCAAATTCTGCTTTCCAGAGTCTGCTGTGGTTTTTCAAATTGACACCTATGGGATCAAGCGATTGCTGAGGGGTTTGTACAGTGCTGTAATTGGTGCCGAGTACATTTGCAAAATTCTGAATTCCATAGTTTTTCCAACTGGAGAGCAATTCCAAGCAGAGGAATTAAAAAATCCAAATTCAATAAAATGCTTGAATTCACTGAAGGCAGACAAAGCATCAAAGAGGGGCTCCCCCCCATGCCTAATATTCAATTATAAATACCTAAAAAGCATTTGGACAAAACCCCTCATTCAGATATGGAAGGGAGAAAATGCAGGTATTTGGAATTGAAGTTACAGCGTGTGCCAGGAACTTCCCGTTCACAAGTTGCAACTGCCCGGCAAGGTGAGCTCCAACCAGATCTATTTGAATAGCAGCTCTAACTGTTCCAGCATTTCTACATTCCCTTTGCCTCAAACCTGCACTTATTCATCGATGCTAGTCCTTTTAAAATAAAAGGATACACTAAATATTTAAAAATCCCTGGGGCAGAGCCTCGAGCTGCTGTAAATTGTCATAGCTCCATCGACTTCAGTGAAGCTATGGTAATTCACACTAGCTAAGAATATCCTATTCCCTCCTTCGCCCAACTTTAAGCGCATCTTTTATGCATTTCATTGCCTAATGATTGTTTAAAGAGAATTGCATATTTTCGTTCTAAAAGCTGAGACGAGATAGTTTCTAAGGAAAAAAATAAACCCCCCAAAAGCAGAAACCCCTCACATAGAAGAAAATAGATTTGGCATCTACTTCCGACTCATCCAGTGTAACACTGGGAATAAACGCTTGTGCTGGTTTACATGCTGCTCTAATAAAACAACAAAACCCTCAATTTTCAAGATACTTTTGTAGTGTTTGGGTTTTTCTACAGATAGCAGAAACACCACTTGTTTCCTCTCTGCAGTAATACTAAATGAGATACCCTTTAGTGTTGTAACTTACGCAGATGATCATAAGCATGTATCTGATCACTGATAATATCCAAGCAGAACACACCAACAGTTCCTCCATCACATCTCATCAGCTCATACACCCTTCCCAGGGCTGCCATTCCTTGGCACAGGAAGTGGCCTAGGATGAGTTATACGAGACTGGAGTTCAGTGTGGCTGCAGTCTGAAATGAACACAATTTGGGTGATGGGAGCTTGCACAATCACTGCAGTTTAGAGTTTTACATTTGGAATACTTAGAAACTTTCTTTCTAAAACCATGGTTTACAGCTAAACTTCCCCAAACACTTCAAAATGCTTTTGAGATCTCTACATCCTGATCACACAGAATTGACTTGGTCCAATTTAAGCCAATGGCAAAACTCCCAAGCTCTGGTGGTCAGAGATCAAGCCTACAATATTCTCTTAAAGCAAACTATTGGCATGACTTCACCAATACCTACACTTCTGTTACAACACTGATGCCAGGAACATGCCTTTGCTTAAAACAAGAATATTGAGGCCTGTAGTTTCTACACCTTTTCTTATTATTCTTTGCTCTTTAACTATATCTAACGAGGAAAAATAATGGTTTACATTAAAATAACACCAAAAACCAAACACAGAAACCAAAAAGCTCCTATGGCCAACACCAGATCTGCAAACTGAATGCCCCAGAAGGCTCAAGTCAGGGGCAAACTTGCCCCCTTTCCCTCCCCACACTTGACTAAAATGGTTTTAAAATTCAGCCCTCAACTTGCCTCCCCTCCCCTCCCCATAAAATAAAAAAATCTGTCTCTAATTTCAAACTCAAATAAGCTCCCAGCATGGTGGCCTTTGTTTTGTTTTCTTCTCCCCAACTCCTCCCTGCAATTGCATAACAAAAGTGTCTAAATTCACACCATCTGGCCGATAAAGACACGGGCCCCAGCGGCCGCCTGGCCCAGCTGATTAGAGCTCCCGTCTAGTCTGAGCCTTGTGGCGAAAGTCACAGCTGTGGGGCTCGCCTGTGCTCAATACAACTCTGTTATTAGCCAGCTGTAGGCCCTGAGACTACTTCTGTTCACATTATAATACCTTTTAACCCTCTGAGCATTGAGGGCATAGGGGGATGCTGGCAGCAGCATAACAACTAGTTTCCTCTTAGTCGGTAATTGGAAGAAAAAGAAGAGGAGAAAAAAGTTATTCCAGGAGAGGAGAGTGTTTACCTTGATTTCCAGCCACTGGGGGGAAGCCTGTGTGTCTGAAAGAGACCCACCTAACAGGAGCAGATCCCATCAGGGCAGGATAACCCAAATGAAGAATTTCAGATGTGCAAATAAATAAATAGGAGGCTCTCAGTGAAAGCACTAATTATTGAGAGTTGAGAGTTTAACTTTCAATGGGTATGACAGATTGGTGCAGCCGTATCAATATTTAGACAACTTTCCTGCTAAGCATGCATCTGTCACCATCTGAGGGAAAGAGACGGGGTTTCGCATGCACTTGTCTCCATGCAGCAGGAATAGCTGCGTGTGTTATTACATACAAAAAGAAAGCCTACCTTCAACTAGTGAGGACTGGAAGCAGAGAAGCAGAAAGACTGGCAGACCCTTCTTTTAAAAACACCAGGCATCAATTTGGACAGCAGAGTGGGTAGTGCATTAAATTTTTATATACTGTTACTAATGCAAACTAAACTAGGGGCTTTAAAAATTGATGCTGCCACTTAAGCAGCACACAATGAGGAAGATTTGATTATTGTACTTAAAAGAAATAAAATAAAATGTCAAGTTTAACTAGAGCTGGATCCATTCCCTGGGCATTCTTCAAAGTGATATGTGTAATGCCTCTTCAGAACACGCAGCATCCTGTTCAGAGCTACTTTAGGGAAACACGACATTTAAAATCAAATGTCTTGATTAGGTTACAGACTGCTTTTGATTTCCTTCACTAATCTGTGTTTCACATAGAAAGGACATCCCTGAGTTGTAATTCTTCCTTGGCTAATCTATCAAGCAGGAAAGTTCAGTGTAATCAGAATAGTGGCTTGCATTTGTAGAACACTACCTTAAATCAAGCACAGAATATGGTTGCAGGCATCAGTGGAGGCCAAGTATATAAAAGCTGAACAGTGTTTGATGAAGGCATGAAGAAGCAGCAGAGCAAAAAGCCAAATTAATTTTATTTTGAAGTATATTTGGATGGGAAGGTGCTGGTGTTTGCTGAAATACTTCAGCTTCTAAAACCAAACTGCAAGAGTGCAGATAGAGATGTAGAGATACAGGAAGAGAGGAGAAAGATGAAGTGTGCTGTTACATTGTTATCACAACCACATGGAAAATCCAAGAATTTTCCTTCTCTGATGTTCACCCAGTTACAGCAAAGACTTTCCACACTATGGATAGCATATATATTTAATTTATATATTTAAACACATATGCAAGTCCCAGATGTGACCAAAGTAACAAAGGTACCTTTGCTCTTTGCTCCTACATCTACGGTCTCCGTACAGCGCACCATACGGGTGTCTCGCCTGATACACTCCGTGTTTGTGCACCCGGATGCGAAGTTGGACAGAAGTGACAATGCTCATTTTTTAATTAACAAGAGCAAAGCCCAACAGAAACACTACACACTGACCCGATTCTTACTGTGTTTGAAAAGTAATGAAATAGTTGATATGATATCTAAGTACCGAAACTGATACCTTCCCTTGACAAGAAGTCTGTGCAAACAGGCTGCTCTTACTACTACATTAAAAGGCTACTTTAAAAAAATCATTTAAAAAAAACCCAAACAAAAAACCCAAACACCCAAACAAAATAAAAATCAAGCAGCAAACTGCAAACATTAAAAGAAGCAACCATCAGTCCAACAGCTTAACCCCCTCCCACTGATACAATAAATCACAAACTGTGGTTAATAAAGGCCAAGATTGGTTTTGCCTTGCCTTTCTTTCCTTTCATAAAATACATTCTATGCACAATTTAACCCATCTTAATATGAGAACAGTGCCTGTTTGCATTGTCCTATGTAGTGGAAAAAATACCAGGACTTATTTCGTTCTCAAGTAATAAGTTCCCATGGAAGCACGATGTATGTATGTAAGGTACATGTAACTTCAGACTTAATAAATGTTATTAAAACATCCTCAACTCATTTTACCCTCTAATCTATAACTTTACATGTTAAAAATAGTGTCTTTCTGAATTAAAAGATGGAAGTCCCCTATATATTGCATACACAGTATAGAAAAGGATTTGTGTTTTGTGTTGAGGTGTTTCTTTTTGGGTTGGGGTAAAACTAAGCAAAATTAAGGAACATGAATGATGAAAATTTAAAAAATTAAACTATTTCACCAGATAAAATTAGATGAAGAATGCCTTCTAACTGCCAGGGAAAAATCTGTACATTCAACTGCTCATTCTCAAGAGGTGAACAGGAATTGGGTAAGAAATAGGCAGATGAAAAGTCTTGGTTTAAACAGTGCATACAGAGGCCCAGCTTAAACCAAACCAGCGCGGGTCAGACTGCAAACATGGGGCTGCTCAGCCTCTTGCGGTAAATAAAAAGAAAAGCCAAAGCAAAATAAGATAAAAAAATAAGACCTCAAATACACATATTGGACCCAAATCAAGCATTATCCACATGTAGAAGGAAAATCTTCCTACATAAATAACCCCTGCGACTCAACAACAAAAATACCAAAGTCTTCCTACCCACCACTTCATCAGAAAGGCCATTTTGTCATCTGTGGAAACAAACTTGACACATGCCATGCCATTAATCAAGTCATCTTACCTGCACATGACCTCGTGGGTAAGCAACACTCTGCACATTTCGGGGTTCTTATTCTGTCCTTCGTAAGTTATGGGCTACAAGAATTAAAGGCAGAAGTAAGCCAGGAGCGTCGGGGTTACTTATGTCATAATATTCAGATCGAAGGTGAAGGCTCTTTACCACTATTCACAAATAAATACCTTCCCCCAAAGCCTTTATGAGCAGGGAAAGCAGCTTATACATAAATATTGATTTTAAAGAGGATAAAAACCTACAAGCCATAAAGAAAAATATTAAATAGACTTTAGAGCATTACTTTTCAATTGCCCTCAAAAATAAGGTCTTTAAGATGAACCAGAGACAAAAATTAACTGGAAGAAAAAAACATGCAGGGCAGTGTTTGGGAAAAAGGCAGGCTGCAGCAGGCAGGACAGCACGGCACACATTAGCTATGCTCACCTGCTTAGTGACTGAGTCGATGAGTCTAACGTACAGATCCTGTTCAGTCCTGACACCTACAGCGAGACAGACGAGCAATAAACAACGCTGCCACACACATCCTTCCCTCAGCATCAGAGCAAACCTGTTTAGTTTCATCTAATACCTTAGTAAACATCCTCAGAAAGACCACTTGAGTTTTGTTCCTTCTAGTGTGTTTCCCAAGGCCATCCACACCAGGGAAACTTTAGAACCCATCCCTACACTGAAGGGGCATCAGGCAAGGGAATATCAGCGTGTTTCAGAAATCACAGTGAAAGCACCTACAAACCTTCCCTCCCTTTACAGCGCACGGAAGGTGACTGGAGGGGGGACTCACCATTGCTATAGAGGAGCTGGAGTTTGTAATGTGTGCCGTTGTTTGTCTTTTCATTGCCTTGCTCCTGAAAGAGAGAATTAAAAATCTTCCAGAACTTACACTTGGCACATTTAAAATGCAGAAGCTGATAATCATGATGGAAGTGACAACAAAGTTCATTAAAATTCTGTGAGGTGAATCCACTGATTGGGATGTATTAACCTTCCGAATGACCCAAGGCAAACTACAAAATACTGCTGACATCTTTTCCTTTAGGAGTTCAGGAACTTCTTTTCCTCCTATTTGCTGCTACACTCTCCACTTTTTCAAGGCAATACACCAAGATAAATTTGTCCATTTCAAGTCAGTTAATATAAAGCAGATTGACAGTGGGAAAACTCAGTGGGTTTGGGGTTTAGCATGCTCATTCCTTTGCAGTAGTGTTATTTTGAGTCATTACTGATATTTATTTCCTGTGTTACAGGGAGGTTTCTTGCATGGGTTTTTGTTGTTTTTTTTTTTTTTTTAACTGTAATTTCCTAGAAAATAATTAATGAGCATCCTTCATAATTAAAAAATATCTTGTCCATGACTAACAAAACAATTGTAAAACCAATGTGAAGTGGTCAGCACGTGGGTTTTAAAATCCAAAAGCAAATGCTTTTTAAATCCTGCCATTGACTTTGGAGCCTTCAGAAATACATATAATCAAGCTCAACAATAATATGCTCTATTACAGGTCAGATTCCACTTCTGTGAGGGTGCTAATAAAACTTGGCAGATCTGGTACGTGCCAAAAAAAAGCACATTTGACCTGCATTATTTTTTTATTCTATTTTTAGTGGGTCTATGAAATTCCTGTTGTATTCCCCATACAGCAGAGGCTTGCAAACTTTTTCAGCTACAGCAGCACACAGGGCAACAGCTCTGTCAAAGCACCTGAACCCTTAACGAGAGCTGGTTGTATTTTGTTTGGGACAACAGGTATTAGAAGTTAACAGCTCAATGGGGAGAAGAAAAGATCAGATTTGGAGAGGGAAAGAGGAAGAAGAAAGGTAATAAGCCTTACTTTATCATTTTCTACAAAGTCCACAAAAGCTGTCCTCTCTATTTCCACGGGCTGCCCCTGTCTGTCGTAGAGAGCCAGAACAAAGTGAAAGAAATTGGATTTCCTCAAGTTGGAGGGTGGCTGCTTTTCAAAGTGAGCTCTGGACAAAGCTACTCCGCTGTGAAGGAAACATACGGGATGGGGTGTGGGGGAGAGACAAAGACATTACCAGGTTGTGCAGCAGTCACAGCAAAACAACAACAGAAAAGCACACATTCCGAGAAGAGCCGGGAATCGCCCCCTGCGCCAGCGGCACACGGCGCTGGAGCAGTCGCTTGGCACACCGACCCCGGCGCTTCCCCGCCCGGGCGCCGCGGCTCCGCTACGGAGAAGCGCGGCCGAGGGCTGCGACCGGGCCGGGCTGTCATTTGTAACGCTGGTGTCTGCAGTTTGCTACGAGGATAAGAATAATTTACAGGCGCCGAAAGAGAAGAGATCGGTCACTGCTAAACGCAGGAAGTGTTTTATTCCTTCCTCTACCTATTTTCCTCTCTCCTGTCACACTCATCTCTGGAATGCAACACGCAGGGTGGGAAGATGGTGTAACATATTAGCGGGTCTGGAAGCGCTATCTATGCATCCCAACATCGCTCACTTCTCATGTAGGAGACAAGGACCTTACATTTCCTACAAGCAGACTGTCAACTTGAGGACACCTATATTTTACGTAAAAGGCAACTAGTTTCAAGCAGAGCATCCACTTCCCTCAGCCGCGAAGTTTGTCAGTGTAGCACTTAGTCCTATTTGAACTGATGTCTGGGTCTTCCATTTCAGATTTAAATTGAAAGAATTTAGATTAAAGTTAATTCGCCCTTGCCCAAATCTTGTCCCTGACTGCAGAAAACACAGGGATGTTTCCCACACCCTTCAAAAGACTCAAATGTTTTTGGGTATCTACAATATCCCGAACTGCAGGTATATTTCTTAGTGAAACTAGTTGTAGCTCCTTCTCCCTAATGCCGATTTCTACCCACTGCAGAGAACAAGGGTGCACATTAGCACCTCCAGATTACTTACTAGACAGATTAAGTCTACCTGCCAGACAACTTAGGAGTCAGAACTGCTTCGCATTTTCAGTCCCCGAAATAGCTCCACCGCATTGGCAAAAGTGTTTGACTCTTTCGGAGAACTACAGATGTGTCCGTGTGTTTTCCCTTGACAAATAGGTGCAGTGTGAACTCACCACATCCGCCACAACTGCCCCTAGTTCGGATTTCCTCTCATTTTCTGCATTTCTTGGTTTGTTACAGGTCTCTCAAAGAGCCCTGGTGATGCCACCACGAGCACAGCGCAACTGCTGCCCTACTGCTTCAAGAGTTACAGGCTTCTTAGGAGCCATTTCCTTTTGCTTTCGGTTTCCCCGTGAATAAACCTCTTCCTCCCCTCACTGTATTTATTAAACCATCTATCGACATTCATAAAACTCTGAGAACTCCTCCCATAGCCCTCAGAAAACCTCACTCACAGATCAGGCCGGAGGAGGGGGAGGGCATGGAAGTACTATTTAAAACGTCCATGGTTCATTTGAAGTCCCATCTGCTGTCGCATGCCCTTCACTTTGTCTCCGTATTAAATAAAACCCAACTTATTCCTGGAACTAATTTTATTACCTTTATCTTTTGCTACTTTAAAAAATAATAATTAAAAATGTATCCAGAGAGAAAGGACGAAAAAAAAAATAAAATACCTAGAAGTGGGTTTAATCGTCTTACCCCTAATGGGAAGAGACGGGAATAACGGTCCTGAGCCGACCTGGCTGGGAAGAGAGACTAAAAGGGGGTGGGAGGGGTGGTGTAACCCTCCCAAACAAGTAGAAACACCCGGCCCCAGTGCTCTGCGCTCCGCAGCCCCTCGGCGCAGAGCCCCGCGGGCAGGTGCTCCCCGCCGGCTCCCGTTCTGCAGACTCCCCTTGGTCCCGAGAACCGCGCTCCGGCTGCTGCTCGCCTGCTTTAGCCAGCTCGCGGCCTTGAAGCCGCGGGGGAAGGTTTGGCCGGTGCCTGCGGTAGCTGCAGAGCCACTTGAATTAAATGAAACAAGATGGGCCGGGGAGGGCGGAGGGAAAGACCTACATTCAAGTTAATTCTAACTTTATCCACTCCTATTCTGCTGTCCGACCCACAAAGAGGGAAGGAGCGGTCTGTATTACTGTTATAATCCACCACACACACACCTCCCTTGTGCAGGAAAAGAAGTAATGAGCCGATGTTGCTGTCATCCGATCCCCGCACTGGATTTTAGGACGCTTGATGCTCTCCGTGTTTGGAGCGCTTCTCCCTAGCTCTAGCTGCACTAACTTGGATTTTCACTGACTAGAGGACACTGGGAAGGGGACAGAAACGGAGAGAATAAATTTAATATCAAATGCGAACAAAACAGAGAGTAAAGGCTTGCTTTAAAAGGTAAAATAACAAAGACAGGGGGAAAACGGGGAGAAACAGTCACGGTTACCTTTGTGCTGCTACGTTTGCATCCACAACCCCAACGTTTCTGACCCAGGACCTGACGGAATCCATTTCAGAACCTAGAGATTTATCTTTCAGAATTGGTCCTCTTCCTAAAGTATCTTGAATCCCAAACATTTAAAAAGTCTATTCCAACTAGCAACAGTTTCCTTTTGGGAGATAAGAGAGGAGAAAAGAAGAAAATAAAAAGACACAGCCTTTGGAATTGGCACACAAAAATCCCAGGGAAGTAGAGAAGTTCAGCTTTAAAACCAACTTCTTCTGCTTTTTTAAGTGCTACGTGTTTTTAATGCCTTCAAATAGAGAAAATGAAAAGTTTTTCCTCTTGCAAAGTAAAAGTTACGCTGATTCAGTCTTGCCGGGTATCATCATCCTTCAAACGCAGGAGAAGAAACTGCATCCAGAAAGCGATGGCTGTTAACCAGGATCACCTGTTTCTCCACAGACACGGGGAGAAGGAATGATTGCAGCCTAATCCAGGGGGAGGGGGGGGAAGGGGGGGGGGAAAGCGGGATAAACTGTACAAGAAAGGAAGAAGCGGAGTTAAGGAGGGTCTGTACCGCTCCACCGGGAAGAGCCGGTCCTCCCGCAGCCGGTCACCATGAATGGGTTACTGCGGTCGTACCGGGAAGGGGGCGGAGCCTGCTCCCAAATAAGGCATTACATTAGCATACCGTCCGCGGATTGGTGGGAAGCGGGAGGTCCCGGGGCCGGACCCGCGGGCGGGGAGCGGGCAGCGGGGCCGCGGCACCGGGAGCACGGCGGGCGGGCGAGCTCCGAACTTCATGGCACGGCCCGTCCGCCCCACGCTAACGGCCACGTAACGATCCAACCGTGCTGCAGTGACAAGGCAGCCGCCCAGGCAGTTGGATGGTTCGATCTCGGGCGCGGGGTTTAAAAACCGAGCGCCCGGAGGAGCGAACCGGGCGGCAGCGCTGCCCGCGGGGTCTGCGCTCCCACCGTGCGAGAGCTGCCGGGTCCAGCCTTAAAACTTGTTATTATGGGCAAAATCCCCCGTTCAAAGCGAGCGGAGCTCCCTCAGCCCGGCCCGCTGCGCACCGGGACCGCATGGATTCTGGGTTTTGTAACGCACTCTGCCTCGGTGATCATTTTCCTCCTGCCCCCTTTGTATTCCGATCCGCGTATAGATCTGCCTCTGAAATCTATATAGCACCAACGCGAAAACAGATTTCAAGACAATGAATGCAAATCTGTGCTCAGAGACCATCTGCCAGATGAGGGAATCAGATGTTCGGTAGTTAAAGGGACAGCGCAAGGATTTCCTCACTCATTATGTGCAGCTTCTCTCTTTAACCTGCTTTATTATTTATTTTTAACGAGATAGGACTATAATATCAATTTCAAAATAAATCCCAACTTCTTCCATCCACGTTCCGCTGCATTCCAAAAAGCCGCTTCTCTACTAAATGCGAAATTATTTTCATGGAGTTTCATACAGTTCTCGCAAAAATAATCGCAAATTAAAATCTTCCCATAAAACTTTGATTAAAACGTATCCTTAATTCAGGCCGGGCTGAGGGCGAAGCCGACGCTGCGAATTGTTGTGTCCGCACAAGTGACACACATGGTACTGAATGAACTAATGTACCGCGCACGATCTTTGTTCCAGGACATTTACCATGCTACCCGCCTCCCAAAATTGATAAATATGCAGGAAGCGATTTTGCCAGGTTAGCAAAAGGCGAGGCTGGCGCTATATTAACGGGAAAGAAAAGCAGCGGCAGTTTGATAGTGTTGTGGAGCCGATGCCAGCCCCTCAAGACATGATCTTAGCATCTTTGAGATGTAGTTTCTCAGTATAAAAGAACCTCACAATTCACCCAAACAGGGTAACATATTTAAAAAACTAAGAAGAAGTGAGAGAACAAGGACCTACGAGGTAAACATGCGGGCAGTGGTAAGGCAGATTAGGGTGGGTTTTTTCTTGTGACCATTTCGCAATAGGCGTGGGTACATTTCCTCAGATAAAAGCCCCCTCTCCGCACTAAGCTCATTTTTGGCAATGCCACTCCGACCGTTTCTGCACTTAGTCTGAGACCCGGGCAGAGACGGAAGGGGAGGGGGCGGAATTCCCTATCCATCTAACCTTGGCCGATGTGTTCAGGAGAAAACGTTTCCTAATATTCGGAGTCCCTCGCTCCTGGGTGATGAAGCCGGCTCTGTCCCTGCAAGTCCGCTCGGGTCCTGCCCAGCTTCGATACGGGGGGGAGGGGGGGGTGTCGTGCTCCGCGGCCCTGGAGCCGTGCTCGGGGGACTCGGGGCGGGTCAGGGGGCAGAGGCGCGGGTCACGGAGATGCCCTCTCCTCTCCCCAAACAGCTGCCACCAGAATTCTGCCCTTCAGGGACAAACGAAGGGACCGTCCCCTTCGCGGGGGGGCTCGGCAGGCACTGGGGAAGCGGCACAGCCCCGCGCTGGGTCCCTCAACGGCCCTGGCAGAGGAAGCGCTTTAGGGGGAGAATCTGCTCCCTCGCCCCCAGCTAAGTTTCGCTCCTTTGCGGCTTATTTTAACAGGATTTAGTACCTCTGAAATTATAACCTCCTGATCCAGATTGCTCATTTCAAGCACTCGGTTTAAACGCAGTTTGAGAAAAGCCCATTTCTGAGACTCTTCTGAAGTAAAATCACCGAGTAAAAACAGCAGTTGCACTAGTGCAACCACCGCCGAGTTTGGCTTTGCACTTCAGATACTACTGCTGAGGAAGCCGGTTCCGCCGGCAGGTAAATGGCACTGTCTAACTCCGGGATGGACAAACCCCGCAAGACCTGCCGGGGACACCCCGATAAGAGAAGGAAGCCTCCAACCAGCAGCGGATCTTCCGCACCGGACTTGCACCCGGGTCTCCAAAGCATTTAGAGGCACAAATCAGAGCGCGCCAAGGGCTCGGGGAAAGGGCTTCTCGGCGCCGAGAGTGGAAGCAACGCCCGAGAAGCGGCTGCGAGAGGGCGCGGGGCCGGGGCTCCCCCCGCGGCTTCCACCCTCGCAAACCGCTCCAAGGTAAAAAGAAGGGGAAAAAGCAGCGGGTTGGGAGCGGTGCTCGCTGCCTTCTGGAGGTGCTCGCTGCTCCCCTCCGGGCTGCCGCGCTCCGCCGCATGCCGGGGTCAAAGTGACAGGTGAGGCGGGTCTGGCGTGAAGCGAGATGCGCCTTTGTTAGCAGGGTTTTAACATCGTCATTTCAGACACCAGAGCCAACTTTAGCCACCCGACACGTCTTAGCAACTCCCAGCAGGAAGAAACATATATACTGAGGATAATACTTCAACCCTCCAAAAGCGTAACCTTAAGCTACTATTGTTTCCTCCCAACTTTAAGGAGAAAATGCCAATGAGAAAGTTAAAATACACCTAAAGACAACACTTGGAAAGAAGCATATCCTCCCTGTCCTATTCATTTGGGAGAATTCAGCCTCCTTCAGGTGTCTCAAGGGAAAGAATCGTAGGTTAAAATTATCAGACAGAGGGGGATAACAAATATTTTCCTCTTTATCCAGTATTCTCAATAGAAGGTTCATTTTTCTGGTACAGGTGTACCAGAAAAAAGAAATGTGCCTGTTCCAAGTGCTCCTTTTAAGCTGTCAACAGCTTCAAGTTTTAAGCCATTAATGTTCAAGCACACACCAAGCTCATTTTTGGCAATACAACGATATTTGACAAACAAACAAGTGCTCCAAAATAACTTTCAGGAGCCTGACACGAGCATAACCACCACATTCACTTGAAGGGGACGACCTGCACAGAACCGCGGCTACACGCACCAGCACAGGCTGTGCTGTGAACACGGGTACCGGAAGGCGCACGGAGAGTGGTCAGGGCACCATATACAAAACTAGATGAGCCTGCTCCGACTCATGTAAGACTGCTCTGGATTTACAAAAGCCTCGATTTAACCGAAGAACGTACACGGCTTAAGGGGGCAAAAATGCCGCTTAAAACGTTTTTATTCCGAGAGGTTTAAAACAGTTCAGGTGCATTCAACTAAGTGGGGAAAGCAAATCGAGCTCTTAACTGTGAATGGAAAATGCAAACCAGGGACTTCAGCACTGAAGAGCTTTTGGTTATACTAATTAGAAGCCTGGGTTTATATCCTCAAAATACAGGTTCTCACAGAAAGGAACTCCCCCAGCTGATTGCTGGACAAAGTTTAACCCCGAAGTCTAAAATAATCAATCTTCTCCACAGACACACGATCTTCGCTCGCTCGCCCCCCCCCCCCCCCCCCCCAGTAGCAAACACCCAAACCCGCGGGGTTTAGCTGTAAAACCATGGGCTGTACGGTCTCTCCCTCCTTCACTATTTACTGCAGTCAGCTCTCCACACTGATCAGTGCTTACAAAACGTGCAAGTTCCAGACATTGTACTGCTCACGGTTAGAAGCAGTGAACAAACTTACAGCAGCTTTCAAGCTTACAAATGCATAAACAAACATTTAATAACTTCTTCTCCACCTCATCTTTCCCAAAAGGGAGAAAATGCTGTATCCAGCACATCCTTTTCATAGTCTTCTGTTCACTTCAATAAGTAAGTGCTTTTTTCACTAGAGCAGGAAAACACATCTGCTGGGGTTTTATCCAACTTTTTTAAAGATACTGCCTTTTGCCTCAAATGGGTTTTGGAACACGTTAGCAAATAATATTTTACCATCAGGAGTGTATGTTCCATTTTATCTTATAATGCAGATTTGAGAAGCCTTAGTGCTGAAGTTTGTTTTTCTAACCACATGGAGGTTTGAAGCAACAAGCACATTCAGGAAAAATACTTCAAGTGGGCGGATATTTGTGCTGGGATCCTCTCTCTCATTTTGCAGTTTATGGAAAGCAGTAAGGGTCAGCTTTTCAGTATGTCTTTGTGCATAAACTATCTAAAATATTCACCAGGAAGTTTAGGTTATCAAAGTCTTTCTAGTTCCAGGTACTTATGACCCAACTCCAGCTGTCAAACAGCATCTCCACAAGCAACTGGATAAATGCAGACATACCAGAGAGCAGAACTGAATTCATTCATTAACATATGAACCAAATCAAAAATGGTCCCCAGTACTATAAACATTCTCATATTGGCACTTAACCCATATTAGTCACTGAAGTGGTCTTACAAGAAATGACTTGACAATACACACATGCTGAACCTCATGCTTAAACATCTGTGTATAGCAAGGGCCTGATTCTATTTCTTGACTCAGCTCAATGCAGCTCTGTCTTAAACAAGTGTCTAACTTTAATTACAGGAACAGTCACTCTCAAGTGATGCCACAGGGACACTGAAGAGTCAGCACACCTTAAGCAACTTGCTAGATAAAAAACTTGATTTTTCAAGTGTTTAAAATATAAGAATTGCAAGCACCTGGAAAATTGCTTTCGTTCCTTCATACAGGACATGAAATTTAGACACTCTCTAGTTGCCACATACTACTTGGATGCAAACTGGTATTGTAGCAGGAATATGTGAATTGTGTGTAATTCCAAGTCTGCCAGTTTTGCCTCTGGTTGATAGAAGGGGGACACATATCTAATGTGTATCTTGCTGCACTGTTTCGGCTGGCTGAAAGAACAGCCTCCAGCTAGGGCTAGCTACCTAGAAAAACCAGCTTCC